TCCACCCTCTTGTCCACGGGGCGGTGGCCGCGAACGTCAACCACGGGGCTGTCATCCTGCACGGCCAAGGAGAGAGAAACCCTCTGAATCTGGGACTGCCGCTGCCAAACGGGCTGCACACGGCGGAGCATCCGTTCAGCACTCTTTAGTATTTTAAACAGCAAGGAAACCCGGGGAATGGAATGAAAAAGCCATAATGGCCAGGTTATACTGACATTATGTAAGCCATTGCCATTATGTAAAGGTCATTGCTATCCCCTCCCTTGTAAGACTAGTCACACTCTTCACACCTAGATAAAATTTCTTCAAACCACAGTAAAATTATACTTCAATAACAATTTTTGACCAAGGAATAAATCTTACATAGTTCAGCGCTACTAAGCACCATGAAACTTGAAGTAGTAGGCTACAAAAAAAATTAGACATCCTGGGGGCTAAGAAGTGTATTCAGCAGCACATTTTCAGTGTCTCAGTTTTTTATTGGGCTGTAGGAATATTTGTAAGGTCTCAGAAAATCATGCTACAGTCAAATACATCATCAGGTTTCAAGCCACACACCAGCTGTGAAGTGGTGAAATTAGGAAAACCATTTAATAACATTTCTCAGAGTAGGTTTGTAGAGCTCTCTGATGCATACATTCCCCAAATCTGCATATTCCCCATATTCCCCATATTTGCAGAAACAGCAAAGTCTAGGAGGATGAGCAAGGAAAACAGGCCTGGTCCCTAAGCATTGTTTCAAACAAAACCATTCTAATTAATAGTTGTTTGAGCTACTGAAACAAAACCTACAGCCGTTTCCAATCCCACTGAGACTTAGCTGCAAATAACAAACATTTGAAAGGATCCAGCATCAGAGGCTTCAAGGAGTTTCAAAAATAGGCAGCATACAATACACAGAATTGCCGAAAATTATTTAACACATTAGTGTTATCAGTAGTCATTGTGCAGACACAAGTGCTCAGATTGTCAGAAAGTCTGACCAATTCAATTTTTACAGGGATTTTCAAATAATAAAAAAGTGCACCAAAATTCTAAATTGTGTTTCCCACTGAAATATTTTACTTAAACAAAAATGTATGTTAAACCATTATTTTATAATGATTCTCATTGCTTTTCCTTCTGCTTTGCAATTGTTACCTCTTAATTTCCAGTGTTAAGCTGTATAAACTGGTAGTTTGTTTAGTTTCAGTTTTTTAATGTCTACTGACTCTGCAGAAAAGATTTAACTGTCTTTGAGACAGGATATGATTTATTACACACTTCTACTCCTTTATACCTAATACTAATTGTCTGTAACGTCATATGTCAACATTGCTAAATTAGTATCCTTAAATAAACTCAACTAAATAACTAATCTTACCATTAAACATTCTTAATTCCCTGCAGAAAAAGAAATAGGAAGAAAATATCTCCAAACTCAGAAGATAGCTATTGCGGGGTTACATATAAAAAGTTAATTTTTTTGACCAATTCGATCGGAAAAGGAATATGCACTGGATTATCTTTTCCCACAACTTCTAATTTAGCTAACTCATATAAGCATAGGAAGTCATGCATGCAATTAAATTAAATTAATTATTAATAACTAATTATTAATCAATATCAGTATTACAACCTCTTCGTCATAGTCAAGAGAGCCCTGGGCCTGAACAGAGGACACACAGAGCAGGAACAGCAGGAGCAGTTTCATGGTGCAGGCTTGCTTCAGCAGCTCAGTGATCTTCTCTTTTCATCAGCTCTGACAAGGAGAGGTCACCTCTGCTCTTTTATATATATGCAGCAGCACTAATTTCCAGCTTCACAGCGATGGGGTCAACCCTTCTGAGCAATCAGAGTCTCTGTTAATATTCAACTCTTCACTCTGTGCCTGAATACATCAGTTGTTGAGCAATTCCTCTGGAAAACTCTTATCTATATGTCCCAGAGACCCCTGTTGATGCTGGCATCAAATACATGTTCAGATCCCTAAAAGCACCTCCTGCTCAGATTACACAAGGTTATCATTTTCTCAAAAATCACAAGTGTTTTAAAGCAGCTGGAAAAGGGAAGGGCCAAAGAAAAAAAATTATTAGATGTCATGTTGTGATGGCTCCTTTTTCTTTCCCTGCTGAATGTTTCAGAAATATTAAATGTGAAGACAACTCACATCATACAAATTTCTGCCTTTTTCTAAATAGTTTCATGGTGCCTGATAGGTATGCAAATCTTTGGGTCTTTTAACACAAAAGTGAAAAAAAAAAAGGTATATTATATTCATTACACTAATAATTTTGCATAAAATCAATGTTTTGGTTTATTAAAGATCAGATGAATACTGTAAGCATAAACCAAAATTATTCCATTAATATAGCCTTGTGATATTGTAAATGAACTAAAATAATTCAATTTTACATATTAATTTGCTAGTTTTCTTTTTTAATACAAAAATTACATCTTTCAAATATTATTTGAATGTTTTAAATAATCTTTTAAGGGAACACAGCATGAAGTTACTTGAAATCATAGCGAAATACTCAAACATACTTTCTAATGTTTTATAGGAAGTTGCGTATCACTGCTCTCATATTAGCAGAGTTTCAACATTTCAGTGTGTTTATATCCTGTGATTTTTCTCGGGCATTATAAATGGACATAACGTCCTGAATTAAATTAAATTAAAGTGGGAGCCAGCATACTTTTCTGAAGTCATTCATATCAATGTCCGAACCAATGAAGGGATGGCAAACTATGGTCTGAGCTTCCATTTCAAAAGATTGACTTGATGGAGAGGAGGATTTTACAGGAAGCAAAGTTAAGAACAGCTAAAATTTATTGGTTAGGCTTTTTCCTGTATTTGTGCTGTTGTCAGAATTCTAGTAAACGATGGAGATTCGCAAAATATGAAAACTGTTTAACCTGACTGGTTTAATTATTAAACAGTTTGGCCCCAAATCAGCCATGGCTCAAGGAGCTGAAACTCCACCTAATTTGATCTCCAGCACGAGGACATCGCCAACACTATTAGATTTGGAAGAACACAAACTTCTCCCTACAGACACTAAGAAATCTGTCTAAGGCCAAAAGTGACATAATTACCAAGTTATCACCACTTATGGATGCTAGCCAAGATGCTAGCCAAGATCATTGATTTCGGGAATATCCTAACTTTAACTACAGTTTTTCCTCCATTCACCTCTGAGGGAAGTTCAGCCACCCTCATCTTACAGATGGAAGGCATCTAGTCCTTGAACTTTTGCCCAGGGCTTACGAGAAACCTGTGGTACAGTGGAACTACAACTAGGTCTCACTATTCCTGAGCTGGAAACACAAATTATCCCAGTTCAGTTCACAAAAATCTTAATTAAATATTAATAATATCAAGTGATATTTGTGGTAAATCTGACTTGAAATGATCAGCATGTTCTGCAGTAATATATGGTATCCTCCTCCAGGCATTAAGCTCTCTTTAGTTCCTGATGGAGAGCCCTGGTTGTGTTTGTGCAGAGGCTGTCAGAGACTGAATGACAAGGGTTGGTACAGGAGCTGCCAAGCCAACTGCAGAGCCCCATCGGGGGAAACCCCCAGGCTTGTTCTGCCTTCAGATGGGATTTCCCCTTTGAAACTCAGCCTTTGACCCCCTCAGCTCCAGTACCTTTCATTGGCTTCCCCTGGAGAGTTGGGTGGTGGTGTCTCCATGGGCATTCTCCATGAGCAACACGTGCATGTCATACCCCAGCAGGCTGGCGGCCTCATGCCAAATGACCAGACACCTCAGGGCAGGGAGCGTGGGACTGTCCATCTGGTGAGCAAGGGCCTTGTCTGCACTCCAGAGGCTGTGCCTGGAGACTTTTATCAGCAAAAACGGTCCAAATTTGGACTGGCATACAGAGGAGTCTATCCTGGCAAACATACATGCATGCAGGAAAGCATTTTGGCAGCAGAAGTTCATCTCCATTAGCGTCTTGGTTGTGAGATGTGATTTAACCATTACAGTCAGGCTGACACTTTATAAGGATTGAATAAAGCCTATGAAGAAGCAAAAGTATAGCTTAAATTTCTTCTAAAAATGGTATCAAAGAAGCCCTCTCTTTGAAAACAGAACAACATCTCTTCCTTCATACTCCCTCCTCCAATTCACATGGTTAATGAGAAGAGCTAATGTGGTGGTGACACCACAGCATGTCTGCTGGAAACTGCAATAATGTGTTCCCAGAGCTAACGTGGTGGTGACACCACAGCATGTCTGCTGGAAATGGCAATAATACTCCATGGACCTGTTGGTGTTCCAGAACACCCCTGTGTACAGCATTTTTTACTAAAAAGGCACTTACTGGCAGAGGTGTGTGTGTGTTTTGAGGAACTGTTTGCTCAGTGCCCTTGTGTTTGTAGTGCTGGCCAGTGATGCAACCCTCTTTACACAAACCCCCCGACCCAGGACAGGCACGATCACCAGATCACGGCTCTTCAGAGCTGGATGGATCCCCAGCAGAGGCCTTGGGGAACAGAACCTTCTTGGCTTACATTGGGCTATAGTGTTTCAATTTAAAAATAGCTGTTGGTTTGGAAATGTCCTTTTAAACCACTAGTGTTGTAACAGTGTCATCCTATGAAAAGAATATTGTGAACTTAAATGTTCACCTCCACTGAGATGAACATCCTTTTTTCTTATTTGCTTTTACTGGTAGCAAATATTACTTCAAAGCTTTCTTGTAAATGATCATGAATGCTCTCTCCATGTTCTGGGAGCAACATTAATGACTGGGCTATTCCCTTTGCCTTTAATAGAACACTAAAAGTTCATCCAATTTGCTAGTCACCTTCTATGAAATAGTGCTTATAAAAATACATAGCTAGCTATTTCCAGAATTGCAGCTGTAGCTGACATGCAAGAACATATCAAGAAGCCATATGTAACAAAGCAAATTAATGAGGTGCGTATTCGTAATAATATTACTGACATAATTTACTGATGTTCCAGGACTAAATTTCACACTAGACTAAACCTTCTAGGAAAAAAAAAAAAAAATTTGTCCTCTAACAACTGCATTCTGAAATCTCTGAAAAGATTAATTTGTCCTCTGAGTTTCTGAAGCATTACAAGGATAACAGGAAACAAGTTCAGATTATAAATTTCTGAGGGAAATGTTTATGTGTAAAAAAATTTAGAAAACTACAGCAACTCCAGGACCATGTGAATACTACTATTAACAGTAACAACAAGCACAGACAAGTTTTCTGCTAAATATTTTTTTTTTATTTTGCTGCCAGAGTGCATATTTCAAATTTGTTTCCCTTTAAAAGGCAGAGGAAATAAGTCTGATTTCTTTCAACAGAAAATAGGAAGGAAACAACTCTATAGACAGCCAGAGACCAGCCTTTAAACCATTTCCACACATCAGATCCACCAGTAAACTGAGTGATCAAGCAGGCACATGCCACTCTGTGTGCAACCTTAAAAAAGAAAGATAAACCTGTTTGAAATTCCTAGCTCTCCCCAAGTTTCCTTTCAAATGTTGTGTATCTTCAGTCTAACGTCATCAGCCCAAGAGGATGATAGCGACTTGCCCCATTTTGACACACTGCCCTGGAGTTTGCACTCTAGTTGCACTTTAAGCAAGGACAGACAACACTCCCCCTCCATGAGATGCTGTGATGGTCTTTATGGGAAGCTCTGAAATCCAACAGGGATTGCCAGCCTCACCAGAGGGACTACCAAAATAGGCTGACATGTTAAACATGAAACCTGCCTGCCTTGGCTTGAAGCTGAGCGGGCAATAGTTCTCCACCGCTACTGACACAATGTAGCACATCTTCCCCAGCTCTACCTAGAACAGGAGCTGGGGCTCAAAGCCACTTCAAGCAAGTTTCCATCACTGTATTCTAAATTGCTAAATACAAACCACCAGCGCAGCCACCAGAAGTGAGCCATCAACTGCAGAAAAGACACCATATTTATGTCAAGCAGGGAAGCGGGTGTGCCAGAAATAATCCCAGGCTAGCGCTGTCCTGTAGTTAGTAAAGACAGTGGGTTTGAACCAATTATGTTGCAATGAATTACTTCTATCTCAGATTGTTTTATAAACTGTTCACAACTCAGGCATGCAGGCAAGCAGACAGAGTGAGGGGTAAAGAAGAGCAGCATGAAGGAGTGGCTGCAAAAGATGAGCTGGCCAAATCCCAGCTACTGCTCAAGAGGACAGGAGTTCCTGGAATTAAAAGCAGATGAGTATATGTGGAGAAATTAGGTGCCTATTTGAAATTTACACAGATGCATTTGGTTATCCTGCTTATCATTGAAAGTGAAATGTCAGGCGGAGTAGCAGGGTACATTTGGAAGAGATTTACAGCCTCTGCCCTTTCACAGCCAACACTTTGCCACGAAGTGCAAGGGTTCCCAGCTCGTTCACATGCTCCACTCTCCATGAGTGGAGAGGTCCCGTGGAGCCAAACTAAGGACCCTCTTCCCAAAAGGTCCGCTCTAATGGCGAACATCCAGTATCACCGCGCTTCAACAGTGTATGGCTTTACCCTTGACAACTCACGAGGAAAGCAATACATGAAACCTGTAGCTCCACGGCCCTAAATATTTGCAAAGTCCCATAGCTTCAGACCCAAGCGGGACTGCGCAGCCCAGGCGCGATCCCTCACCCTGAGGGGGCAGCGCTCGGGCCCCGCTGCAGGCCGGGCGCGGGGCAGCGCCGGCGCCTCTCCCGCAGCGCCACACCGCCCTCTGCCGGCCGCTGCTCGCGCCGCGCCCGCCTCCGGGAACACCGCACCCGGGGGATGGCTCCGGGATGGCTCCGGCTGGAGGGAGCGCAGTGAGCGGGGTCAGGACAGCAGTGAGTGGGGTCACCGGGTCACACCTGCCGGATGAAGCAGGGTCATCCCAGAGCATGCGGCACAGGGCTGTGTCCAGAGAGCTTCTGATTATCTCCCGTGAAGGAGATTCCGCAACATGTCTGCGCCGCTGCACCATCATCTGCACAGTAAAAGAAGTTTTTCCTCATGTTCAGGTGGAACTTCCTGTGCATCAGGTTCTGCCCACTGCCCCTTGTCCTGTTGCTTGGCAGCACCAAACAGAGCCTGGCTACATTCTTCTGTCACCACTCCTTTATATACTTGTACACACTGATGAAGTGACTCGCACCGCCTGCCCTGGCAGCGCCAGCGGGGCTCGAACCCGCGACTCCCGCACACGGAGGAGAGGGGTTCCCATAAGCCTCGCCCCTCTGCTTTGGCGCTCCGTCCATTTCCCTCTTTATGCGTCTCTTCCGGTCCGGCGCGGGAAGGCGCCGGAAGTGGCTCCATAGCGGCCGCGGCCGGGGGAGTTCGGTGGCGCCATGGCGGAGGTGAGGGACGAGGGAGGGCCCCGCGCGTTCACTCTGTCGCGCCCTTGAGGCGCTCTGGGCGAGACCAGGGAGCGGGAGCGGGTCGGGGCCGGGCGGAAGAAGCGCCGCCCCGCACCCGCCATCGTCGCTGTCTCCCGGGTGGGAAAGGCCGCTGTGGGGATGGTCCGTGGCGGCGCCTCCATCTGCGGCCCCCGCCCGGTTCGGCCCGGGGACAGCGAGGTGCCCGCAGAACGCACCGGGTGCGGGCCATGGGAATGTGCGTGTCTGGGGCGGGAGTGAGCAGCGGGTTTGCTTTGCCAGGCTTGTGCCGAATGCGGAATTGGTGCTGCGGGGCATCAGGCACAGCATCGCCAGCCCGTCAGGAGAGGGGATTGTCCCGCTCCGAGCTGCTCTGGGGCGGGCTCACCTCCAGTACTGGGTACTGTTTTGGGTACCACAGTATCAGAAAAAGGTGTAAAGGATACGGAGATGAATGGTCTAGAGGGAAAACCTTATGAGGAGTGGATGAGGTCACTTGCCGTAATTAGGCTGGAGAAGAGGGTGAAGGGAAACCTCATTTCAGTTTACAGCTTTCTCATGAGGGGGAAGCAGAGGAGCAGGCTCTGATCTGATCTCTGTGGTGACCAGTGACAGAATCCAAGGGAATGACCTGAAGTTGTGTCAGGGGAGGTTTAGGATGGATATTAGGAAAAGGTTCTTCAACCAGAGGGCGGTTGGGTGCTAGAACGGCTCCCCAGGGCAGTGGTCACAGCCACAAGGCTGACAGAGTTCAATGAACATTTGCACAATGCTCTTGGGCACAGGGTGTGACTCTTGGGGTGTCCTGTGCAGGGCCAGGACTCGATGATCCTTGTGAGCTACCTCCAGCCCAGCACATTCTGTGATTGTGGGGAATTGATGCCAGGGTGTTTTACCACCAGAGAGCTACTGACTGTTGGTCCATAAGGGAAACCACAAAAAGGGTCTTTTTGGGAGGGTTTGGGAGCACAGCTGTGGAGAAGACCACTGGTTTTAAAGACCACCAGAATCTTTACTGTGGGGTGAATTTCATGCACTTCTGAAGGCATGTGGGGCTACCAGGGTTATAGAAGGAGGTGCAGCGACTGCTGCCAGATGCAACATTACGAGTTGGTGGTTTACAGAAAAGCATCTGTCAAAAATTACTTGCAGAAATTTCTTCCCTGTTGGGGAGACATTGTGGTACCTACTCCTCCATTTGTGGTGTCAGCAGCTGCTGTTGTTAGGTGGTAATTAGCCATGTTAACATGAAGTGGTACTGTGCACAGAAATTCATGGTTGCTCATGTTCTTTTTACAGTGGTAGTGAGGGAAAATTTACAGGGTTTTTTTTTTTTTCAGAAAGAATTGACTTATTTATTGCCTACATATAAAAACAGAATTGGGAAGGACGTGGGATAGAACTTCTACACTCATGGATTTGTCATGTAGATACCAGTGCAGAAAGTTTGATAAAAGTTTTTGGCTTGCTTTTCAAAGTCTTGTAAGTTTTCAAGGAATAGAATATAGTTTTGAATAAACAACTGACATAATGACCTAATTTTTTAGTTTCCAAGAAGATTAGTGTCTTCTGTGAACAGAATGGTTGCATGTCATGTAACAGAACTGAGAAATTGCTACTCAGTTCAATTTATGTTTCAGTGTTCAGTTTTTCATTTAAATCTGTTCAAACTGATTTAAATGCTCTTTTCTTTATTTTAGGAAGTCCAAAAGCATTCTGTGCACACACTTGTGTTCAGATCTTTGAAGAGAACCCATGACATGTTTGTAGCTGACAATGCCAAGCCTATCCCATTGGATGAAGAAAGGTGAGTGCTGCTGCACTCAGTGAAGTTTTGAACTCTGTCAATGATTGTCAATTTCTGACCCAAGTCAGAAATTCAGATGTTTCTGTACTGTCAACACTGTAATCTTGGGGGGGGAGAAATATTAGAGTTGTAGAGTAAGTTGTATGACATCGCTGTACAATATTTCAGAGCCTGTTAGCAGTTCAGAGGCTGGGGCTCAGTGAGGTTTTGCTTTCCTCTTGCGCAGCCACAAGGTGAAGATGGCGGTGAAGCTGCGCACAGAGTACGGCTCAGTGCTGCACATGCCCTCGCTCAAGGAGAACCTGAGGGAGAAGGGAGGCTCCAACACCGGGGATCCCTATGGACACAAACAGTACTCTGGAAACCAAGGTTGGTGTGCCCTTAGTGCTCTATTTGTCCTTCTTTTGTCACAGTCTCACTGGTGTAAAATCTCCAGAATGCAGTCCAGTGTTAATGCACTGGAGATAAATACAGATACAAAAAAAAAAATTTAATTGATAATTTTCTTGCTAGGTTCCACAGCAGGTAAGTGATTTAGAAAAAGGGGAAAGCTGCTTTTAACAAAGGAGTTATTGGGTGCTGTGGATTTTTTATTGTGATTAGTTGGTGAAAAGCGTAATTTTTAAATTTTTGGTAGTATTAGTGTGTAATGTACTTAGGTGTTAGAGTTGAATAATATATTTCTTGTGTCTGCAAGTTCATGATTAAGGACATGCTCTTTTTGACTTTTGTTTGTTTTGCATTTTTGTGTGTTGTTTTTTTTTTGGGGTGTTTTTTTGTTATTTTAGTTGTGTTTCATAGTATATTTACAGTCTTTTAGTTGTGCAGTTTTTAAACCAGAAAACGCTTTATTTCAAATCGGTAGAGTTTTTTTAATGTATGTTTTGTGATGTATAAAATGTGTGTGTGTTAGTTAGATCTCATATGAAAATTTCTTTTCTAAAAATGCTGCCTCGTTTTAGTTGAGGTAGTTGATATTCAGTTGATACTCAGAGTCTGCCCAAGGTGCTTTATTTGGAAGTATTGTGGAAGTGCAGCATGTTGAGAGAGAATGGAAAATCTTTTAAGGAGAATCTGACAGCACAGACAACCAACCAATTAGCTTACGTTTCAGACACCCATGCTCTTTGTAGTCATGATGTCTGCTTCAAAGGCAGTATGAAGATATTTTTCTTGAGTCTTCTTGATAACAGGTAGCTTCACCATTCAAATTAATTATTTTTTATAGTTGAGTTTTTTAAAAAGAAGATAACCAGAACAAATTAAATTAATAAAAATGAGAAATGTTTATGTATATTGAAGGTGGTTACTAGTTTCTTCTGCTGTGTATGATCTGCTCTCTTTTCCTCTATTTGCTGTTTGAGTGCATTATAAAATGTAATTATTAATATAACATTGTCTTGCTCTTTAGGGCAAGAAGTTGAGTATATGGTAACTGGTACTCACCCATACCCATCTGGGCCTGGTAAGTAAAATTTTGCAAGTGTTTGTATGGATTTTTTGGGTTCCTGTATGAAGAAGATATCCTCCATCCTAGCAGGAGCAGGCTTCCTCTTGATGTGAATCCATAATTAATAGTAGTGGAATGTTGCCTGCTTTTCATCACCAGAGCAGAAAGGTGTAAGTTTCACCATCTTGCTCTGGGGAAGAGTTTTGAGGGTGTAATAATTGTAGTGCTTGTAAGGGTTATGTTTCTGTGTTGTTACATTGGTCATTGCTCATTGCCACTGCTACTGACTGATCCTGCTGTTCTTGTAAGAACTTAGTTTTAGCTGTTGATCTTTTATTGTGCTTAAGTTTATTATGTGTAGTGGAAAATCTGTTGTCTTGATTTATAACTTAACAGATGTGAGTGTTCAGTGAACCCTCAACCGTTAAAAAACCAGGCATAGTTGCTTTTAACTATGGGGACAAGAATTGCTCACAGTGTCTTCCTTCAGTTTAGTGTTCTTTTAATAGAATCATTTATATCAGGGTTCAAAATCAGATTCTCTTGGCTGTTTCTTGTTTTAAACTGAATATTTTGCCCAAATACTGAGTTTGTTGTCAACTGACAGAAGTGGTTAGAAGAAATAAAGTGATGAGTTAAATTCACCAGTCTGCACCAAAACTGTACTTTACAAAGAGTTTTTAATTTCTTTTTAGACAACACCTGCTATTCTTGATACAAGGTTAAAAATCTGAATATGTAGCCTGAAATTCTCACTTCAGTAGGACTAAACCTTCTGTAGTTCTGGCACCACTGTGTGATGCCAAACACTGCAGAGGGATGGATTATAAATTGTACTAAAGGGCCTAAGTTAGCAAATGCTTTGCAAGATCATGTTTATTTCTGTGGTGTTTGGATTTCCATAGCAGTTAAAGCTGGATATAGAGATGGATGCTGCTCCTAATTAGACTTTTCTGTTTGTTTCCACTGGCATACTGTTTTCAACTCTAGAAATTTTGTACTCGTATATGTAGTAGATCAAGATGGAAAGGATTTGTGCCAAAATAAAGATTTCAGTAGATTTGAATTGGATGTGAAAATGTTACTGAGGGATGAGAGTTTATATTACAGGTGTGTCAGGCCCTTGTTTGCAGGTATATGTGTTTATATATGTTTGTATAATACACTTTGGAGTTCCTGTTTAAAGGAGCTGTCTTTGTTTCTGATATGGTTTTTTTTTTTTTCAAGGTGTGGCTTTGACAGCAGATACTAAGGTCCAGAGGATGCCAAGTGAATCTGCAGCACAGTCCTTAGCTGTAGCACTTCCTGCTTCCCAGTCCAGGTACTGCTGTGTTGCCTCATTGACACTGTTACCTGTGGGAATTGCAAGGCAAATCACAGAAGCTGGGATAAGAGCTACTTGGAGTAATTAGAATATTCTTAAAGGAACTGCTTTTAGTGTGGACAAGCATTGTTTTTATGCTTTTTATTTTGTACTGTCATGAGAGGTAGTGGGTGGAAGTTGGGACAAGGGGAACTTTGTTTAGTTAGAAGAGAAGAATGTGAAGCTTTGTGGTATCTGTAGCTTGGGGTGGTCAGGTCCTGGCCAGGGTGCCAGGAGGGGTTTTGGACTCTCCATCCTGAGAGGTGTACAGCACTCAGCTGGGTGCAGCCCTGTGACATCACTTGGCAGGAGAAAGTCATGAACCATTTTCACTCCCCCCAGGCTGGATGCAAACCGGACAGCTGCTGGTGTGGGTGACATTTACAGGCATGCTGGAATGTCTGAGCGTTCCCAGCCTCCTGGGATGGCTGTGGTGAGTCTGTTGTACATCTAACTGGAACAGTACATGGTGTTGACAAGATTGCTTCTGGATCTGTGTGTGTGTTGTCTGGAGATCTCCTGACTGACTAAATTTAATCAGTATTGAGAAGGTAGAATGAGAAAGTTTTAGGCTTTGGACAAAGAGATAAACTACCAACCAGAAGAGTAACACTTCTTTTAATTTACAGGCTATGGTGGAAGCTGGTGGAAACAAAAATTCTGCATTAATGCCAAAGAAGGCTCCAACCATGCCCAAACCTCAGTGGCATCCACCTTGGAAACTCTACAGAGTAAGTTAGAAATTACATTACAAGAATATGCATATAAAAGTAGACATACTCTATGTAAGACCTCAAATCATAATTTTTGTTCTCATTCACAAAAATATAATCAAATATGATTTAAAAGTGTAATCAAAAAGTGATCACAACTAAGTTATGTATACACAGTCTTGCTTTGAACCTCTCTTTTACTCTCGTAGCTGTGTTATGTTAAATTTGGTGGAAGGTTTGCTGTATTTCTGCCTAAGAAGCTTGTTGTGTTTTAAATCTTTTGAAATGAGCCGTATGACAGTACCTGAAACATGACATCCAGTGAAACTAGTTATGAGGCTTGATTTTAGCTGTCTGACCTTGGAAAATTTAGAGAAATGGGCTGCTGAAAAGCAAAGCATGTGTTGGCAGAGTATTTCTTGTGAGATCAGGCTCCATTATTTTTCATTGGAAAGTGTCCAACTCTCATATTACCCCTGTTTTGGGGAAAAGAAGGTGATGGTGTGCTTTAAGAGGTTTTTGTATAGAAATGTGATTTAATAGCCAGTGTTTTTATAATTGTTCTTTGTATAAACACTGTCCAGCAGCAGAAGGAATCTGTGCTCAAATATGGTCTTTCTCTGCAAAGCTTCAAGTGTTGAGCCACAGTGTTATGGACTCTCAAAGGATATTAAAAATTCGCTTATACAAACAAGGTCTTTACATATTGCAGCTTCCCCAAGTCTGGTGTATGTAAATTTCTAGTTTTCTCTTTAACTGGAGTAGAAATCAAGCTGTCTTCAGATCTGATTTCACATTTGTCTTTTCTTGGTAAATACTAGCAAATTTCAGTGTTGAAGAAGGAAAATTACTTCAAAAGGTGTTGTATTATTTCTGATATAAATTTTTTTTGGTTCTTTCTGAAGGTTATCAGTGGTCATCTGGGCTGGGTGAGATGCATTGCAGTGGAACCAGGAAATCAGTGGTTTGTTACTGGCTCTGCTGACAGAACCATAAAGGTAAGAGCTTGGAAGAAATTACTGACAAAGTTTGCAGGGGTGGGGTTTTTTTGTTCGCTTTTTATTTAAAAGTGTTTCCAGACCTTGGAAACAATTTCTTGTTTGCGGAATAATGAACTGCAGAACATTTTTTCTTTTGTTGCCTTGTCATAAAGGATTTGTGAAGTAGCTGCCATTCTTCTCTTGAGATTTCATTTCTTACATGGTAGTATCTGGAGAGCAAGTGTTTGTGTGACTGTATTTTTAACTTACATTGCAGCAGGGTCAGTTACATCTGGGCTGTTTACCCAGATTCACTGTGTAGCTTTTTCCTGTCTACCTTAAAATACCTATTTTGGTGCAGATTTGGGACCTTGCTAGTGGCAAATTGAAATTGTCTTTGACGGGACACATCAGTACCGTACGCGGGGTGATAGTAAGTGCAAGAAGTCCATACCTCTTTTCTTGTGGAGAAGACAAACAAGTGAAGTGCTGGGATCTTGAGTACAATAAGGTAAGCTGCAGTTTCTTGAAGGAATTGGTAGTAGCAAATACAAAAATCAAAGCATTTAGAATATTTTTTCAGTTAATAGTTTGCATGGTTTTTTATTCATCTAGGTTATCAGACATTACCACGGTCATCTAAGTGCTGTTTATGGCTTAGACTTGCATCCAACAATAGATGTGCTGGTGACATGCAGCAGGGATTCAACAGCACGAGTAAGTATAGCATTGTTGTGTTTGAGCATCTTGATGTGTGTATTTCAGTATCTTCACTTGTAAAAATGAGCACTTAGCTAAAGTTGTCATCAATTTAGATTAAATACTAAGGTGGTTTGTGTTAGCTTTGTCTTACATTGTTAATAAAATTGAGGCCCAGATACACAAACTTGCCATGTCACTTCAGGATGATGTTTTATTTCTTAGTTTAGTAGGTAGACTACATAGTATATGTAGGATTGCTTAGTATTTAGAAGGTGGTGTGGGATTATGGTGGCTTGAATTATCTGTATGCCTGAAAGGCATATAACTGGCAGGTTTCTGCTCTTCTTGAAATTTGCCAGCTGAGGCAGTTCTGTAATAAATGGTTAGGTGAAAAATACCACCTAAATACCATTTTTTAATCTGTAAGACTATGGCAAGGAAATTATGTAATCAGTGTTAGTGCCTAAAATACATTGAATATTCTCCTGTTACTGACCTCTGACATATTTGCTGTGATTTCATAGATTTGGGATGTAAGGACAAAAGCCAGTGTGCACACACTGTCAGGACACACAAATGCAGTAGCAACTGTGAAGTGCCAAGCTGCAGAACCACAAATTATTACAGGTATAGTAGGTGTAGTTTCATGAGTAACTTGATGGAAAAACCTAATGGTGAATGTGTTTGTTCAGTAATTGTGTGATGTTCATAATGTTATCTTGGTTAATTTTTCAAATCTCGTACTAGTTTCTGTTGAAAATGGGCCATGCAATGGTTATTACATACTATTAATGGTATGTTTAAGCAAATATGGCTGTGCATTGCTTGAATGCTTTTCTGCACTTCCTTTTTTTCTGGTGTTTTCATTTGTGTTATAATATGTATTGAGACTTGCATTTTCTGTGATATTTCGGTTCTCCCTATTTGAGTTCTCCCTATTTCGGTTCAGGAGTGTCCAGTACTGTGGTTAAGTGTTCATCTTCTTTCCCATTATGTCAAAATCAAGCTTTGCAGTGTAACTTCTTAAAGTTATCCTAAAAACTAGGCGCTTCTTAAAACTGAGTAAAAATACTTTTGCAATCTAGCATCTTCTTCATCTGAGGTGGCATTAGCCCAGTATTTATGTCTCTCTCACATCATTCTGGCTGCCTTAGCTAAGTAGTGATTATGATAAAATCAAGATTATGGTTTCTACTGTTTTTTTTTAAATTTTCTTCTCATTGTAGGCAGTCATGATACTACCATACGGCTCTGGGACTTGGTGGCAGGAAAAACTCGTGTTACTTTAACAAATCACAAGAAATCTGTAAGAGCAGTAGTGCTACATCCAAGACAGTAAGTTTTCTTTATTTTGTTACACTTTCATAGTTTTCTGAGAACTGAAGAGAGGAAATGTGAGTGATGATCTAGAATGGTAGAGCATAATAATGTGAGAAACTAATGCACTTAAGGTGATGCAAAAATGTATGTATCAATTATCAGATATATTTTACTGCACTGAGTGTGCTTCCCTAGTGTTGGCATTGGTGTACATTAGCAATCCTGAGAATGCCTTATATCCCACAGAGTTGCTTATGTGTGTGCCTTTCATTCAGTCCTTAAAATTCAGTGATACAGTGCTCATAAGGCTAATGATAAATATGTAACTGAATGGTTGTGGGCAGGAATTGCAGTAGTTTTGTAATGGGCCAGTGCACACATGTGATTAATGCTAAAGGAGACAGTGATTAATAGAGTGGTCTGTCTTTTTAATATGTGGTTCACTGCACAAGACATTTCAATCTAACTGGCCTTAAAAAAAACTCAACGTGAGCATTGAAGCTTTGAAGCAGATGTTCTTAGAAGTGCTCTGAATTTAGATGCTGTGTTTTGATGCACAGTAGTTGCCTATTGGATCCCCATTAAAATAGTGAACAAAAGGAATTCACATGGAACTTGATTACTTCTGTGCCTTTAATATTTTAAAATTACATTCTGTCATTTCTATTAGAAATTCAGCATCTTTGATATGAATAAACTCTTCCAGTGTGTGCCTAAAAAATTGTGTAGCCTGTTAGCTATAGAAAAAGCCTCTATTTTACTTACATTCTGAAAAAAAAAGGTAATTCAGGGTTCAACTTCATTGATAATACCTTTCTGAAAATAAACTTGAAGTGTTCTTGTCAAATGGTAGCAACTGTCAGTCTACAGTTCAGTATTTCTATTTTTTTTAATGTTGTGGTGTTTTCTCGTAATACTCAACTTTTTTATTTGTGGTATCTTTTAAATAGACAGCAAATTCTCTGGATATTGTGGCAAATGAAAGTATTCCTACAGGCTATTGTATGTGCTACAAAATAACCATGTAACTGCTTGCACATGTTAAAATGAAGGAAATTTTTATTTTGGGGTGACTCAGTGGAAGAAATTATCTTAGTAACATTTTTGCAGGGCTTTTTCCTTGCTCATGCAATTTTGGAAGACTAGGCATTAGCCTATGCTTGGGGTTTGTTGCCTTTTTATCCTGTTACCTTTGCTGGTCATGCCCTGATATCTGAAAATTTGCCAGAATAACAACTGAAGAGAACTTAATGTGCATTTCAGATATTTGCATATGAAATCTATGACATACAGGATGTTATAAAGTTTAGTTTATGAAGAGAAAAGAAAACAGTAGGAGTAGGTAATTCATGACTTCATAAAATTGCTTAATTTCATGTGAAGTAAACATGTCAGAAAAGCAGTTTTAATGTTAAGTAATTTACAACTAGCATTTAGCAGTAGTTTTAATGAAGGACATTTGCTCCCACTACAGCTATTTTGAGCTTTAATATACTTTGTTTATTTTCTTTCAGTTACACATTTGCATCTGGTTCTCCAGATAATATTAAGCAGTGGAAATTCCCAGATGGAAACTTCATCCAGAATCTCTCTGGTCACAATGCTATTATAAACACACTGGCTGTAAATTCCGATGGTGTTCTGGTCTCAGGAGGTAAAAATGAGAAATACACATTCCTCTCCTCTCTCCTTTGTACATATTCCTGGAGGTCCTTACGTAGAGATGCTCATGGAGCTCTGCCTTACCTAGGCCTGTCAGCCTGCTGCAGGACATAATTTCATTTTGTTGTGAGTAGGGCCACTTTTATGACCTTGGATGTTTCTGAGCTGCATGCAAATAAAATAAATTAGAAGGACTTCTAATGTACTGCATGGAAGAGGTTTCCTCTTCTCAGCTGGCTGGTGCTGCAAGGCTCCAGAGTTCATCCTTTATGATCTGCTGGTCATTAGTGCCTCCTCTGGCGTTAGCTGCATGTTGAGGCAGTGACACTGGCTAGCAGATGTAGAAGCATCTTGCTAAAGCTAAATGGGAATAAGGCACTTGGTTCAATGTGCCCTTGGTCCTGTAGGCTAGGGATGTGGGGTAAGTTGGAAATGTGCTAAGCAGGAATTGGGAAACAGCCAATTACATTGTCACCTTACTCTGATTGTGTTTCCAGCTATGTGTAAAAGGGGCCCTTGATTTTAAAATTTGAATAAAGCTGTGTTTAGCAAATGGCTCATCCCCAGTAAGAACAAGAACTTCACAAAATACTGGAATGGACTTAGTTATATGTCATTATTATTATTTGAAGACACTTTCAGAACATCCTTTTATGACTTTTTTATGTTAATAGTAGCTGAGTCTTAAAAAACACCTTCTCCACATAAGAAACCTGTTATCATTTTACTGATATTAATTGCAACTTTTAAAAAGTTAAGATTTGAGTATCAATTCTCCCCTTAAATCCTAACGCTATCTACAGCAGCTTCAGAGAAGGTGATGCTGAATCAAAATAAGTTGATTTTACCTTGGAATTTTCTACCGTAGAAACACCCTTCTTGAAATATGTGGATTTCTAGTCTAGCTGGCAGCTGTGGAGAAATTTAATTTTTAATAGATCTGTTTTGACTAGGTAATGCTTTGAATCTTTCTAACTGAAAAATTTTCTTGAGAGTATCCTTCTGAATAGAGCGTTCAGATTGCTGTGAATGCCCTGTAGCTGATGCCAGTAGCAGCAATACTGGACGTGATTTTTAAACTGGATTTGGAATAAAATCTGTGCAAACATTAAACCTACTTTGCATAAAGTCCTTAATGTCCTAATCTCTTTGGGAAGATGATGCCTCCTCATTCAACTTCAGTGGAGCTACTGAGCAGGGAGCTTGATTTTCAGAATACCCGTCCTTACTGTGCCTCCAAGGCAACTTGTGCAATTGCCCTGTGATGTAGTGTATCATCTCTCTGGGTTATCTGATGAAAATCTGGATGAGATTCTGAGAAGGGAAACAGCTGAAAACAGGAAAATTTATAGGATGTACTGTGCTATTCTACATGAATGTGGTGTGATGTATTCCTGATGTATTTACTAATTGTTCATGATGCTGGTTTTAGAAAACTGATAGAAATTAACTGGTTTGTTTGTTTGTTGTAGCTGATAATGGCACTATGCACCTTTGGGACTGGAGAACTGGATACAATTTCCAGAGAGTACATGCAGCTGTACAGCCAGGTTCTTTGGACAGTGAATCAGGAATATTTGCTTGTGTTTTTGACCAGTCAGAAAGCAGATTGCTAACGGCTGAAGCTGATAAAACCATAAAAGTATACAAAGAAGATGATACTGCGGTATGTCAAAAAGTCTTTTTAAAGTATTTTCATAAAATCAGAAAAATTCAGACAAATATAACACCTGTCTGTAGGGGACATTTTCATACTTCTGTGATCCATTTTGTTGAAGTTTGAAAGAAGTCTCTGTATTAGCATTAACAGGACAGTAGCTAATTTCTGCATTCCTAATTATTGTTATATGCTGTAGTACAAATAAGTGTCAGGTCTGTGAACTCTCCTGTAAAAGGCCTTTTTGGTGAAGTTTGGAGAAATCTGAATACAATCATGTACATTGGGTTTTGAACCCAGTGGGGAACTATGTGAGGTTGTATTGATAAAAATATGGGAATCAGCAAAAGGATTGCACTTTTAAGGTTTATTGTACTTATTTATATAATTTGAATTAGTTATTGGCCTTGACAGTTTTTAGAATTTGAAGTCAAGAGCTTATTTTCAAACTGTTATTCTAAAATATGAATTGATTTACCAGTGGAGAGGACAACAGATGATTGTATAGTTTATCTGTGTATGTCTTCAATATAAAGAATATAAGAATTTTTATGAAACCTTGGAATTTTGCACTGAATTAGAGTAGGAGTAACTCTTAAGTATAAAGAATCAGGGATTTTTTATCAGTTTTAAAGCTGGGCAAAATACACTCCATGACATCTGCCATTACTGATGTAGATATGTCTGGAAAGCCTGTCACTGGCAGCTCCTGCTCATGTGCTTTGATAACCACAGTGTTGTTTTGGAAATGCCAATGGCAACCTGATCATTTCCCTTGCTGGAAAAAAAAAAGACAAGTACAGAAAAAGTATTGCTATGTACTTCAGACAGTGAGATGATAGAAAATTTAATTTGGTAAATTAATTACATTGTAGATTAGGTATTAATAATGCTACTTATGAAATAGAGTACATATACTTCATAAATAGTATTTTAAACTAAACCTCAATTATAGGTGAGTTTCAAGTTTAAAATAAAAATCCTTATGAGATCATTTTTTTTTTCTCTTTAGACTGAAGAAACCCATCCGGTCAGCTGGAAACCAGAAATTATCAAGAGAAAGCGATTTTAGTGTGGCAACATACTACTTCTGTAATTTTGTTTTGGCTTCCCTGAGAGCATTCAGTCAGATTTTGTTCTGCCTAGAACAGCAAAGCAAGAAGTCAGCTAAGTCATTGCTATTTCAACATGTTTTATAATAAATTTTATTTCTCTTTCCTTTTGTCTTTTTTTGTTGCGATTCCAGCAAACCAGTTGAATCTTAACTTCTTGAAGCATGTATGGCTCATGAAAAAGATAGGTGTGCAGGTGGTTAATTTTTTAGGCTTACATTCAACAGATTATTATCAAAATATTTTGATGAGCTAAGTTGTCAGAAACACCCTTGCTTGACCTCAAAAGTTAATCACAAATTTATGCATAGAAGTCATCTTCTGGAAGTTCCTTGGGGACACTTTCAGATTTTAGACCAATATTGTTTATTGTACATAGGCTAAGTCTATACTGAATTAGAGTTACTGAGTAATTTACAAACAAGCAGAACAACACAATAATAAGGTAATTTGCTTTATAAACACAGCCACTGAACACTGCTGGTGCTGTGTTACTGAAGGAAATGGATCTTCAGAGTGTATCTTTCCCCAGGAAAGTGTTTAAATGGAAGCACTCATCTTCACTTAGTTATTTCAGAGTGGGCCTTCTGTAGCAAGGACTGCTGTCAAATCACTTTGACAGCAGCAATCACAAATGCTGGTCTTGTTTGCAGGACCAGTTGACTTTCTTTGCAGATGAGCTGTTTGCTTTTTCCAGTTACCTAAAGCATACATGACAGTAGAGTGCGGTGAAGTTTTAAAACTCAGCTAGAGGAAAAGCTCTTAGCTCGTTTAAGCCTTATTTTACAGGTTGCTGTCTTCCCACGATCTTAGGAAGGAATGTAAAATAAACTGTTACTGAAAGGTAGTTTGTACTTGTGGAGGGACAAATCTTTCATTGGCTCTATGAATAGTCCCATAACAAGCAGTGAACATGTAAACCTCCTTGCTGCTACTATCTGTGATGTCTGTGTTGCTCTAAAGTACTTTCCCTTCATAGAGCAGTAGAGAAAATCATTGTCATCTGGCCATTCTGTTATTGGCAAATTTGCTAGCAGGGTTAATAGCTGCATTGGCTAGAGAATTACTCTGTGGCCTCACTGATATCAAGCATTGATGTCAAGCAGTTCACAATAATTATTTCTGTTCTCTAGCAGTTTGACTTCTTTCAAATCTAGGATTTGTGTTAGAGAAGTGAGTTATTTGCAATGTAATTTACAAAAAGCTAGTAAAATTATGTGTTGTTTATATTATGACAATTTCTGTCTTTTTTATGATACATAGGAAGTCTTGTATTTATAATCTGAATGTCTGACAGTGTCATTTTAAGGGAGTCCAGGCTGCATAAATAACTGAATTTTAGTTGACAGCTACTGTCAGAAGAAACTTCACAAAATAGGAAATGGAATATTTGATATTTACGAGTTGGATTAAGCATCTTTTATTTGAGTGGTAATTTGAATTTTTCTGGATCTTAATTACAGTTCTTTCCATGGTAAATGATATAACAGTTAAAAATCCAGATTGTGGCTTATGCATGTATACAGCTACTAATGCGTCATTCCAGAAATCAGTGAATTATTGGTGTTGTGCAGATTTTTTTTGCTCACAGTGAAATCCTGTTTAGGAAACCAGAGCAGAGAGAAACAACTTAACTTAAAAAGAGGTGGAATTGCTGAGGATTTTTTTTGTTCCATTTTGTTTTGGGTTTTTTTTAAAAAGTGTCTTTTTTTTTTTTTGATAATTTGGAATGAAGAAGGAGGAATTACTTCTCTAGCTATGGGCCACAGTTCTAGCATGTCTTTTCTGTACTGATACTTTACTTTAGAAACTGCATTTATTTTACTTACTCTTTATAATTTTGAAGAGAGATCAGAAAGTCTCCTTAAGAACCTGTGTTTCTTCTCTGGACTTCTGCAGCAATCTGATATCTTGGGACTGGTTATGAGAGCATTTTTTTTGTGCCCTCAGTTAAGATTTTGTTTATACATTAAAGGCTGTACACTATTACTTGGGACAGTATGTTTGCTTTTTGACCCTAGGATAGGCTGCCACAGTTCTAAGTGTGATTTTTTTTTAAGTGTATTCTTGAACATTTGATTGACTTGTTTGTTTCCTTCCCAGCAGTTTTTTCTTGCCTTTGACAGTAATGTGAATATCATCACATGTTTTTATGTAAGTTTTGTTTATGGTGCACCAAGATTATCACATTTCATCAAAGTACTTCTCTGGTGGTGAGTAAGCCTGGATAGTCAGCTGTGACACACGTAGGCTGGATCGTGTAGGATACACAGTGGCATTAGATTTGTCAATGTCAGTCATAAGGTGAAGCAAAAGAGGAGGATCTGATCTACTGGATGGATTATCCATGCTTCTGGAAAGGGTCACAGTGCAATGTCAGTTTAAGTAATCTTGAATAGGAGTCTAATCACAGAAAATAATTACTGTACTTAATTCCATAAAAATTGATGTTGTCTTCTGTATAGGCTCAAATAATTTCTACCACAAACCCTGAGATTTGTTTTATACTGTGTATAAAATTGCAAAAAAGTGAGGAAATGGGTTTTGTTTGTAAAATAAAAAAGTGTAACTGGTAAAAGTGATTAATTTTTCAGATGACTCTTTGCTGATACTGAGGCATACAGTGTAAGCTGTACCACTACAATGCACAGCATGAGAGTGGTGCAAAACAATTTGTATTTGGCAGCTGAAAGGCTCACAGAAACAAGTGTCTAACAGCAGCTTCTTTTTAGTTTTGTTGGATTGGAATCAAAGTGCTACACCTGATGTAAGTGACAGCAATTTAGCAATCAATAAAACCTTCCATACAATATGAATTCATGTCTTTTTTCCATTAAGGTTCTTATGGTAAGAAGAAAAAACAACTGTATTGAAGTGAAAGTAATTCAGTATCGACATGGACTGTTTCCCATAGCACGGTAACAAACATTTTTGCACATCAGCTGTAATGGAAGTGAGAAAGTACTGATTGCTGTTTTATGCAGAGCTTCCTGTCTGCATGAAGGGATTAGCAAAACAGATGCATTCATGCATTTTCTCTAGCGTGTTTTTATAAAACCCAGAAACACCTCTGGAGTGAAGTATGAGTTCTAGGATGAGTTCTGGGTGAGAGTTTTGTGGCAGGATCATCCCTTAGGTGTTACTGTCTTCCTATTGCTGCTTTGTTGAATCTGTGGGATAAGTGTTTGTAACACTTAATCATGTTACTTAAGTCAGTAACATGTGAACTTCTTCCAGGTGCATATTAGCACCAGGGTTTTGTTAACCTTCCTTTAGGGTTTTTGTTTGAATATAATGAATGCACAAGCCCCAAACTTGTATCTAAAGCATGGATTAATTGGAGGCACTCCCTTGCAAATTAGACCTCAGCAGTAAAATAATTGAGCTAAATGTCTGTTAGCTAAATCTGTTAAATGTCTCCTTGCAAGGAAGTTTGAAATCACTGACAAGAAAACTGTAGTTGAAAATGCTTGGGAAATTTGTATTGTGCTGGGGGTTTTTTTCTTTCTTCAAAAACCTGCATACGTTCCCCCGTGTTTGAGAAGTGCAGGTAATGTGTGAAATGCTCATTTCTGCCAATGTGTTTTTGCAACCTTTGCTTTATTTTTTAGGGAGAGCATGTCTGCAAGACATGTCAGCTTTACTCTTTCTGCCCTAATTTTTGTGTTTTTAGATGCTGATGCAAATATCTTGTTTTTTCCCAGGTGATGCATCACTAGGAGAAGGGATGAAGGGCTAAGTCCTTCAGAGCAAGGGAAAGTCAATGCAGCATCAGTATGAATTATGAGAACCAAAGGCTACACGTAGAGAAAAATAAGACTTCACAGAGGCCAGATAAGAAAACTGTAATTAACTTAAACCTCTCAGGGAGGTGAAAAGGATGGTGGAAGAATTAAGACTAAAGGAGACAAGAGCTATTATGTCTGAAAGGAAATATTTGAAAACTTAATATATTTACCTGGCAGGCTGGAGTAGAAAAGACATTTCTGGATTAGAATGGAATAATGAAGGAGCAAGAGTGTGTTAATGTGGGTGCAGCCAATGGTGAAATGAAAATGTGGGCAGTTTGATGCAAATCTTTTTACAGCAAGCTATAAATGTATTTCTGAAAAGTGCAGGTATTGTATGTACCTGCATGTTCCAGTGCTCTCGTGCTCCAAATTATAACTCAGTATACTACAGAAAATTCAGTGGCAGGTAAAGAATTGTGGACCACTGCCAAATGATAAGTCTGGAGAGATTTGCAGCTGCACTGGGATTTTCACTGAGGAAGTGCTTGCAAGCAGAGTTCTAAACAAGGCTTAAAAGTAAAGTGTGAAGAGTGAAGCCAAAGTTTGTATGGTGAATATCTTTAAAATAACAGGATAATTTTTTTTATAGCTGATTGAATGTAGGGATTGCCTTACAACACTGAGTTTGGTTTTTTTCTGACAGGTAAGTGGTGAGCTGAGGAATGAGAAGTGAGTTTATAGCCACAGAATATCCTGCTGAGAGGATGCATTGCTGTTGGGAGACTATTGTGATAAGAATGTAGCTTGTGCAATTAGAAAAACCTTTGTGCTGCATCCAAAAGTGGGGTTTTTTTGGGTTGTTTGGGTTTTTTTTTTTTGTGGGAAAAGACACTACAAATCATAATGTGGCTTAACTATTTCCAAGTAAATCCCTTTGACCAGCCAACTTCCTGCACTGACAACTAGAGATCTGCTCTCAATAAAGCAGCCGTACAGATCATGAATATAAGAGCTCCGTACAAAAATTTGAGCATGGCTTCAGCTGCCAGATGAGTCACATTTCATGTCCTGTAGGTGTATTAATTCTTTCCTGCTCATTCAATGTCTTTTCTTCCCATGCAACATGCTAATGAGCTTGTTTCTTTTAAAAAAAGCTTGGCAATGCAAACCAGCCAGAATATATTAATTCTGTTAATGACTTTGTTCTATTTGGAACTGAAAATCCCAGTGAAGGCGTTTTGTGTTGCCCTAAATCAAACTTCAACAGGAAATTCGAAAGTAACTAGCAATTAATCACAGCAGCTAAATGAAAGCATAGATAAAATTGCTTACTGCTTACATAAGTTATTGTAGTGAAGTGCATTTTTTTTTGTTTTCCTGGGCAAACCTCATTGATTATTTTTGGGTTTTTTGAATTTTTTTTGTTAGTTAGATTTTGTTTGCTTGTTTTTTAATTTTTAGGTGAGGTTGTAAATGTCCATTAATTGTATAAGAGGAAAGAAAACTGCTCCTGGAATTTGTGCAGTTTTAGTTGCCATGCAGTTGCCAGTTCAGTGATGCAGTTTTTCTGGAGTGATTAGAATAGAAAGACTGTGCTTAAAATGGCACAGTGAGTTTCAAAGATCCAGACACTGAAGAGAAGGTCCACATGCTGCCCATAACATAACCCTGTGGCAGTGCAATTTTAGTTTTGTATTCTCTCACAGGTTTCAATTTCTCAGTTTTTGTTCTTGGGAAACTTTAATGGTGAAAACACTGCTAAGAAATTGGAAGCTATCTTTAGCTCATATCTCCAGCCTGATTAATTATGATCTGATAACTCCTTTCTTTTTTCCCTTTTCCCCCAAACTTGTCCTGGCCTTCTTCCATCAACAACATCCCTGAGGAGCCTGTGAGATCCTCAGCTGGAGGATCTGTTCTGGAGAGCTTCATGTTGGCCAGGTGCAGTGAGCAGTGCTATCAATTGTTCTTTCAGGTCCCTGTGTGGTTCAGGGACCTTGCTGCATCAAACACTGACAGAACTATGCAGGAGGAGTGTTTTGTGGTGGGAAGTTGTTCTTGGAGACAGAAAATACTGACTAACCTGATCTGCAACCCAATGTTGATAGATAATTGTTTTGCCTCCATCCTCACAGTTCCTCTCACCTTACTTCATTTTTGAGAAATCATAGTAGTACAACACACTGTGTATAAGATGTACCAGTGGTTGTTAACAATGCCTCACACTGGTTTTAATTACAAAATCTGACAGCAGTTTTCACATTTGTAACAGAAAATAGGCAAGCAGTAAAGCCTGAGATTGAATGAGGCACACACAAAGGAAACCTAAACCAAAGTGAGGAAGATATTCAAGTAAATCACATCTGGTTTTTTTGTCTTTTTAACATGTTCAGCTCAGCAGTGTGCCCAGTAATAGTTGCTAAACCTCAGTATTCCACTGAGAAACATTCAGGCCAACCTGGCTGACTGTCCTGACAGTTGCTTTGTATTGGTGAAGCTGAGCAGGAGATACTCTGGTGGAGAAATGCCAAAATGGCTTTGAGTGAAAAGCTGTCCTTGTGATGAGAAAATGTCTAGCTTTTTTCTGTTTCACAATTCCTTAGTTTCTTAAACCTCATAAATTTTTGCTGTGAATAGTAAACAGATCTAGTATTGCGGGTAATATAGACCTTTAAATTGTGGTCAAACTTCTAAATTGTCCTAAAATTTTGGACTCAGGAATATTCCAGGACATACAAGTCTCATGGTAACACAGTACCTATAGAGAAATAAAAGAAAAAATCACAGGCAAGGAGCCATTACCAATAATGGTCACAAGTAGAAAGTGGGAGAACTTTCTACTCTGGAGGATATTGCATCTCCATACACATCTTCCAAGAAGAAAAGCCTAAGTGTTGTTGCTCTGTTCAAAGGGAAGACAGAAAGGATGGTGAGGTGAGGTGTGTTTATAGAATGAACAGCCAGAACATAAATGTCTGTGTGCTGTTCTGTAAGTGTGTGCCTTACACCCTGCTTATACTGCAGCAGTTAATTTGAAACAACCCTGGTGATAACTGATACCTGTGTGGAGAGATGTGTGGGATGTGACAGAACTAGTGATTTTCTGCAGGACACACCTCACCGGAGTTAACCACTAGGAGCCAGCATGTTTTAAAATAACACAGCTGTTGTCACTCCTACCTCAGGGCAATACTGTGTTTTCACACTGTTCTCCTTGCTTTAAGCCTTGTCAGTTCTCACTTTTTTTTAATGTGGTGTTTTTCTCTAGTGTAGACAGGACCAAGGTAGTATGTGGTTGAATTTAGAAATGTTCCTGTATAAAGAATACACTTACACTTTCCTCATCCTCTTTCTTTTCTTTTTTTCTCCCTTTTTTTTTCTTTTCTGAAAGGTTTTCCTGTATGTTCTCACATGCAGTTCACGTGAAATCACTTCTCTCTTTCAGTAAAAGGGGAATATAATTTGTATTATGCAAGAGAGAATAAAGGTAATGTCCCCTGAGAACCTTACCTTGGAAAAAATTAAAATGTCTTAGCCTTACATTTTGATGATAAGTAGTTCTAGTCAGCCTCTTGCAAAAATGTGTTTGATGCTCAGCATTCTAAATTCATTTTCAGTGCTTTTAGTTTTGCTTAGACTGCTGTAATTTCCCCCTGTGCTGAGGCTGGTTAAGACATCTTAAAAAGCAGCATCTCACTATGGTCAGCATAGTGAGATGCTGCTTTCCTCCTTCCTGTGCACACCTTGACCTTCCTCTTTCTCAGCCTGCCCCTTCCAGAATGGAGGGGTGAGCAGAGACACAGCCACATCATTGTCCTCCCATCCCAGAGCTCTGCCCCTTCTTCCACTCCTACCAAAACCCTCCTTGTTGGCTCATGAACAGAATGAAATAATAATCTGTTTTCTCCCTCCTGAGCACCAGAGACCATCAGCAAAGCGAATGTATTGCAGGGGAAGAAGAAATTGGTTTCTTGATGCCTAGAGGTTAGAAAGGGATCACCTGCTGGAAACACTGGAGTTGTGTTTATAGGGTCATGTCTTCTTAAATTCATGGTGGAGTTTGAAGAGACGCTAAAGCAGTTTTG